CACTCCCATCCTTATCTTTTTGTTTAAATAAACTCTGTGATCAGATGTTCGAAGCATTTTGCCTTGTGCATGTGCCACAGTTGTGACTGGTTGACTTGTCTGCTTAATGTGTCTCTCCTTTTCTCTTCGATCAGGAAATGGGTTTATTGGTAAACATATTGATAAAATCCCTAACATAATTTGGTCCTTCGAAAGCGGTGGTCCTATCACCTCGCGGCGCCAAGAGCCGACGCCGGGGAACTGTCGACAACCTATATCTCCTCCAGCACTGAGCTTTCGCTGGGGGTTGGTGTGAGGATCTTGACGTCGCTGGAAGGGGATGCGGATCCACGAACTACTCAAGATCTGAGTGGAGAGATTTGGTGAGACATGTTTGTTGTTTGGTTGTATTTGTGGTACAGAGAGAAAATCCTAGGTGACCAGGAATAAATTGGTTTAGTCCACCATGAAAGGATGTTAAACAGATTCCCGGAATGCTGTATTGCTTCAGCCTTGTTAGCCCGGCACCCACGAGAGATGAGCTCAGCGGAAGCGCCCACAATCCCGGCACCAACGGCGCTGAGAGACGGCGGCGATCGAACGCCGGTAAAACTCCCAAGATTCAGTGGCGCCACACCCCTTGCACCCTTCCTCGCTCAAGTAGAGCTGGCGGCTTTACATGAAGGATGGAGCCAACAGGAGACAGCGGTTCAGGTGGCGCTGACCTTGGAAGGAGGAGCACTTCAGGTCCTGGTGGACCTAGCATCGGAAGAGCAATGCGATTAGCAAGCTATCACGGCTGCACGGAACAGACGCTTTGGGAAGCAAGCCTCAGGAGAGCAAAGCCGAGAACAACTGAGCGGCAGACAACGCGGCCACAGAGAAACCTTGGGAGCTTATGCGGCTGATCTACAACTGTATGCTCGTCGGGGCTATCCTGATTTCCGGCTGCCGCCAGAGAGGAGTTAAGCCTGCACACATTCCTATGAGGGCTAACACCGGAACCATTATGTCAACACGTCAGATTGTCCTTCCCCATCACCTTGGCTGAAGCGCTTAGGAGAGCTGAACAAGCGGAGGTGTGATGCCTGTTAGACAGTGTGGGCGATCGCCGCTGGCGAGAGCGGCTGAACAAGAGGAGGCACTGGAGGAGAGAAGTCAACCAGGCCCGGCTGGAGCAGACCCCGAGACAGAAACCAGCCACCGGCCTCTGTTACCGCTGTGGGGAACCGGGACATCTAGCCAGAGACTGCCCAGCCCCAAGTCCTCGGCCCAGGTCCGGACCTGTGGAGGCCGCAAGCTGCGGGAAACGCCAGCGGGGTGGGACAGTAAGGGGACCCCCCATCTCGCGCAACGTCACCCCTTGGAGTTAACCTGCCTTCCGTCGGCCGCTGCGGGCCGCTTCATGGGCTCTATTTGGACTGTGTTGTCGGAGGACAATGATGCCGAGCCTTGGTGTATACGGGGTCCACCATCTGTCTGGTCTGGAAGGGATTCCTGCCAGAGACTGAGGGTTCCCTCCCGGTAAGCTGTAGTCCCACCGAAACCGCATTGCTGACTGTGACTGGTGAAAATCTAAAATGACGGGAAAGGGACTGTTATCGGTGGTGGTCGGAACTCATCGAGCTGAGCAGGAGTTCTGGATCGCTGCCATTCGAGATGATTGCATCATTGGGCTGGATTTATTAACACGCTGGGGCGTGTTGACGTCCGAGGAACTGCTTTGTGCCTAGATGCCAAGAGGATTCCACTCCAGGAGGGGAGGGACCCTTATGAGAAGCGACGAGGAGCCAGAGTTGCCCAGTCACTCGAAGACGACTGCGAAAGCCTGGAGGTTGGACAGAAGCCGGTCCCTGCTACTGTGGCCCCGTCACCTGAGGCCATGCTTGCTTATGGAGGCGTTGGAACAATGCAGCGGGGAACACCTCAGCTCGGAGCAACGAGAGCAGTTGGGCCAATTACTGTGAGAGTTTGGAGACATCTTTGCTGCTCGAGAAGAGGATTGCACCCGGACTAGCTTGGTCCAAAACTGCATCGACACAGGAGACGCCTCTCCTGTACGGCTCCACCCTCATCGCCTGCCATTAGCCAAACGCCGAGCAGCAGAAGAATTAATCAGAGACATGGCAGCTAACGGGGTCATTGAGCCATCAGAGAACCCCTGGGCTGCGCCCGTTGTCATGGTGGAGAAGAAGATGGGTGCATGGCGACCCTGTGTGGATTACCGGAGGCTTAATGCTTTGACGCGCAAAGACTCATACCCCCTGCCCCGCATTGACGACGCATTAGATCATGTAGCTGGATCGTGCTGGTTCAGCTCCTTGGATCTACGCAGCGGATATTGACAGGTGGAGCTGGCGCCGGAGGCTAAACCCAAAACGGCGTTCACGATTGGACAGGGACTGTGGCAGTTTCGAGTGATGCCATTTAGGTTATGTAATGCCCCGGCTACTTTTGAAAGACTGATGGAACGAGTTCTGCAGAAGATTCCTCGCAGCCGCTTTGTGGTTTATCTGGATGATTTGCTTGTGCATTCTAAAGACTTTGAGCACGCTGTTCGCAACCTGAGGGAGGTTTTTGTCGCCATTTGCCAGGCTGGGCTGCGATTAAATCCTGCTAAGTGCACGCTGCTCACTCGCCAGACCCATTTCCTCGGCCATGTTGTCAGCGAGCAGGGAGTAACAACAGATCCTGCTAAGGTTGTTGCTGTGAAGGAATGGCCTGTGCCCATTGGAGTTCGGCAGGCTCCATCTCTGGCGGTTTTTAAATCTCGTTTAAAGACCCAATTTTACACTTTGGGTTTTAGACAGTGACTCGTTTTAGTGTTTTATTGTATCATTGTTTTAATGTGCTCTTAGTGTTCATCATGTTTTCTCTGCTTTTGATTGAGATTTGTATCCTTTGTTTTAGCTCCTTGTAATGGTTGTGTTTTGTTTTAGCCTGTGCAGCACTTTGGGCAGCTCCCATGCTGCATTTTAAATGTGCTATATAAATAAACTATGCTATGCTATGCTAAGAAGCGTCTCGGAGCTGTGGAGCTTCCTGGGTTTGGCCTCCTACTACCCCCACTTTGTGAAAGGATTTGCTACTGTGGCTAGCCCCCTGCATCGGTTAGGCGAGAAGGGCAGGCGGTTCGAATGGAGTGAGGAGTGCACTGCAGTTTTCCACCAGCTCCAGACGGCGCCGGTTCTGGCGTATCCGGACCCCGCCCAACCGTTTGTTGTGGATACAGATGATAGCAATGTGGGAGTGGGTACCATGCTCTCCCAAACAGGTTAAGATGGAGAAAGAGTTGTGTCTTATTACAGCCTCAGTCTCAATCGGAGCGAGAGGAACTACTGCGTCACCAGGCGGGAGCTGCTAGCGGTGGTTTTGGCTGTGAGACACTTCCGGCCATACCTGCTGGGTACCAAGTTCAAACATCGGACTGATCATGCTAGCCTCACCTGGCGATTGAACTTTAAACAGCCAGGGGGACAGGTGGCTAGGTGGCTGGAGATTCTGCAGGAGTATGACTTTGAGATCCAGCACCGCCCCGGTCGCCAGCATGCTAACGCTGACGCGCTGTCCCGGCACACATGTTTAGTGACTGAGTGTCATTACTGCCTCCGCCAGGAAGAGCGACAACCAGAACCTGTTCCAGCAGCAGTGAGGGAACAGCACCAGGAACCGTTGGCCACAGCGGCGGAAGCTACCGAGGAACAAGAGAGGGAGCTGTTCTCGATGGAAGAACTAAAAGATCAGCAGGAGGCTGATCCAACTCTGGCGGAGGTGAGGACCTGGGTTCGGGACGCCCAGAGACCAGAGTGGCCCACCATATCCTCGCGTGTGGCTGAATTAAAGAACCTGCACTCACAGTTCGGTAGCTTGGAGCTGCATGGAGATGTGCTGTATCGGTGCTGGCAGGCACTGGGAGGAGGGATGGACCGCTTTGTGGCTGCTGGTGCCACAAAACCTTCGAGCAAAAGTCCTCTACTGGGTTCATGGGGCAGCGGGGACGGGACACTTTGGCAACAGCAAAACGGTGTGACGGCTCCGGCAGAGGTTCTACTGGCCGGGCTGCCGTCAGGACGTGGAACACCACGTTCACTGCTGCGACGTCTGCACCAGTCAAAAAGGGCCTACTCAGCGCTCCCGGTGGCCGCAACAACAGTACCTAGTTGGAGCACCGATGGAACGAGTCAGGGTGGACATCCTCGGGCCCTTTCCCACCACAGAGGCTGGAAATCACTACATTCTGGTGGCCATGGACTATTTCACCAAGTGGCCAGAAGCGTATGCGATGCCGGATCAAAGCGCAGCATCTACAGCTCAGCGGTTGGTGGACGAGAACTTCTCTCGTTTTGGAGTACCTGAGGAGCTGCAATAATTGGGAGAGGAGAGCAGGGTTCTGTCAAAGCTGTAGAGTTACGACACTCCAATAAACTTTTATGGAAAGAATGGAATGCTGAAGTCACGTGGTTCATGCAGCTTCGAATAGTTCCAAACAGCCCCCGCTGCTGCATTGACCGTAGTTCATTTTTGGTGTTTCGGAAGGATTTTCTCCAGTAAGTTGATGAAGTGTCATCATGTTGTTGCATTGTGAAGCGTTAGCTAACCGCTTCGTACCAAAATAAGCCAATGATGATATTTTATGTTGCCAGTTTTAGCTAGATAACCTTTAATGAGCTAATTGTGTGCAGCTTGTTGATTGTGAGCAGAAGGACGAGCTATAGACGGGTTTATTTCAGTTTGTTTGATTCTACGTTTTAAAAATATTCCCCACAGTTTGAAATAGGTTATAAACTTTTTAGACGTCCGTCCGTCCGTCCGCCCGCCCACCCATCTGCCTGCCTGTCTGTCTGTCTGTCTGTCTGTCTATCATCATCATCTATATATTAATTTATTTAAGGTTTTTATCTTTTTTTATGTCTTTAATCTATTTTGTCTATCCTTCCATTTTTTATTTTACACACACACACACACACACACACACACACACACACACACACACACACACATATAAAAATTTCGAATTTTTGTTGTTTTTATTTCTTTATGGCTTTTATCAGTCATTACAATACAATTATAAAGCATCGGTGGAGAACCATGCAGCCCAAAAGTGGTTCTGTCTTTCCGGCATCTGTCCACCGCTTATAACTCTACAACAGCATCTCTAAAAACTCTGGTACAGGCACATTCCTTAGCCTGCTTAGAATAGCAAAACGCTATTGTAGGAGAATGGAGTCCCCACAGAGCCACCTTGTAAATTATGACTTCTTGACAACAGTCCCAGCTGTCTCTCCACAGCCTTTACTTTGGGATTTCTTCTTAGGGGCTCCAAATGAATAAAGATGGCACATTCTTTTTCAGCTGCAGTTATTACAACATTGTATGCTATTATTTTATATACAGATAAACTGTTTAAAGCAGACGCCACCGGTATTTAACAGCTCTAAATTGCAGTGGGTTATGTACTACAACCATCATGTGTCTGTTATCTTGTCTGTTTCTTAAATACAAGAGGGTATAACAGTTTTTTCTTAATCTTTAACTTTTTTTTGTATTCAGAATTCATGAATGAACATCTCAAATGTTTGGTTACGGTCTGAGTTTAAAAAACAAAGGAGATTTGAAAATGAAAATCAAAAGAAGAGGTGGCTCAAGGGCAGAGTATGGACTTGCTCAATGATAGTTGAGCAGAGGTACAAGACTAATATTAAGGTTGTAAAAAACTAAATAGTACTTTTGGAAGTACTGTTGTTAAATAAATCCCTCGAGCCCTGTGTGGATGCTCGTATGTCTCTTTAAATTTGTCTTTCGAATGAACCATTGTCCACAGAGCTCACAGGCAAAAGACTTTCATGTGTGCATTTAAATAATTTTTATGGCTAAATCTTTTCCCAGAGCTTACAGGAAAAAGGCTCCTCTCCTGTGTGGACTTTCATGTGTGTGTTTAAATAATTTTTATGGCTAAATCTTTGTCCACAGAGCTTACAGGCAAAAGGCTTCTCTCCTGTGTGGACTCTCATGTGTCTGTTTAAACTTGCCTTTTGGGTACATCTGCATCCACAGAGCTTGCAGGCAAAAGGCTTCTCTCCTGTGTGGACTCTCATGTGTTTGTTTAAACTATCTTTACGGTTAAATCTTTGTCCACACAGCTCACAGGGGAAAGGCTTCTCTCCTGTGTGGACTTTCATGTGATAGTTTAAATGTGACTTTTGGGTACATCTGTATCCACAGAGCTCACAGACAAAAGGCTTCTCTCCTGTGTGAACTTTCATGTGATAGTTTAAATGTGACTTTTGGGCACATCTGTATCCACAGAGCTCACAGGCAAAAGGCTTCTCTCCTGTGTGAACTTTCATGTGTGTGTTTAAACTATTTTTATGGCTAAATCTTTGTCCACAGAGCTCACAAGCAAAAGGCTTATCTCCTGTGTGGACTCTCATGTGTCTGTTTAAATGTGACTTTTCGGTACATCTGTATCCACAGAGCTCGCAAGCGAAAGGCTTCTCTCCTGTGTGGACTCTCATGTGTGTGTTTAAACTATGTTTATGGCTAAATCTTTGTCCACAGAGCTCACAAGCAAAAGGCTTCTGCCCTGTGTGGACTTTCATGTGTGTGTTTAAACTTGCCTTTTGGGTACTTCTGTATCCACAGAGCTCACAGGCAAAAGGCTTCTCTCCTGTGTGGACTCTCATGTGATAGTTTAAATGCTTTTTCAAGCTAAATCTTTTTCCACAGAGCTCACAGGCAAAAGGCTTCTCTCCTGTGTGGACTCTCATGTGACAGTTGAAATTATTTTTATGGCTAAATCTTTTCCCACAGAGCTCACAGGCAAAAGGCTTCTCTCCTGTGTGGATTTTCATGTGATCGTTTAAACTTGCCTTTTGGGTACATCTGTATCCACAGAGCTCGCAGGCAAAAGGCTTCTCTCCTGTGTGGACTCTCATGTGTGTGTTTAAATTATGTTTACGGCTAAATCTTTGCCCACAGAGCTCACATGCAAAAGGCTTCTGCCCGGTGTGGCCTTTCATATGACGGGTTAAACTGGAAGTTTGGCTAAATCTTTTTCCACAGTCATCACAACTAAATGATTTTGGTTGTTTCTGGACTTTTCTACATGAGCCTCCATGTTGCTTCTCTTTCACACATTTTGTATTAACCGAACACTCTGACGACTTTACTGCTGAATGACTAGTCACTCTCACATGTTCCTGAAGAGACCACTTGTGGAGGAACCGTATACCACACACAGGGCAGCTAAATGATTTGTTGACGGTCTTAATATCTGACTCAGAAGACTTGTTCTCATTACAGCCATGATCTCCGTTTCCAGTTTCAGGCCCAGAGTCTGAACGCTCAGAGTCTAGATTCACATCATCTTCATCTTCTCCACTAACTTCAACCTCTGAAGAATGTGATGTCTTTTCATTAGGGTCCAGATCTAGATTCCTGATAGTTTCTGCTCCTCCACCAACTTTTGCTGTCATCTGCCCAGCCAAGCTGCTGGTTGGGACACCTCTGTCTTTCATTTGATGGTTGTGGAAATGTAACAGCAGAGGTTTCTCATCCGTCTCTTCTCTCTTCCTTGAAACTGCAGTGAACCAAGCAGAAATATATAAAAGATAAATAGTCAGTAAAAAGACAAAAGACCTAGGGGTGTTTTTGGAATCAGTAATATACATAACCAATGTTGGTAAACACATTACTATTTATTGTAATGCATTACTTTAACAAATAACTATGAATCTAATGAGTTGCTTTTAAGTCCAGACATCACTATGCGATTGGTAGAAGGAAAAAAACGCTATCTGCAAATTCTGATTTACGCCTCTCAGATCCGGTCAAACCAGCGTGCGTCGCTGCTACTGTGGAGCCTAGAGATACCCTGAGAGCAGCATCGCGTCGGCCCCTCCCTTCCTTTCCCTAACACTGAAGGCGTGCAGCGGAAAAAATGTAAACAAACATATCTGCCGAACCTTTACTCTGTGAGAGTGCTGTAAAGTTTGTATCCTGCAACGAAATCACAGCAGAAGCTCATTAAAATGCGTCAAAACAGTAAATGTAATACGTGTTTTAAGAAGAAACTGTGGGTGGAAAGAGGTGAGATTGTAAGGCTTGCCGCAGAAATAAAAACACAGAGCGTCAACACTCATCTGTAACCCATAAAATAATAATGAGCATCATGCTGCTAGATCAGCAGCTTGTGATGACAGTTCTGCTCACTAGGTAAGCTGACCTTAATCCACAAGATGAGACATATGGCAATAGAATTCCAGATAAAGAGCTAGCAGCAAGGCCATTTAAACATTTGTAGGCCAGAACCAAAATCTTAAATTCAACACAGAACTGAACTGGGATCAATACAAAGGCAACAACTGGAGTGATATGATCAAATTGACAAATGTCAGTCAAAAGACGGGCTGAAGCCTAGCAATACATCCATGATCAACACCCAAGTAAAGACTATTGCAGTAGTCTTAACAAAATTCATTAAATGCATGAATAAGCTTCTCAAAACGATTCCTCATCAAAAAGACTTATAAAGATTCTTTAGGTGAAAAAAGCATACTTAAATCACATTATTGACTTGAACATCAAATTTAAGCTGAGAATCAATCTGAACACCCAAATTAGACACAACATCCTTTGCATCATATGAGACTGAGTAACTACAGGGGCACCACTTGGTGCAAACATAATCAACTCAGTCTTAGACTCATTAATCTGGAGAAAATTACAACCCATCCACAATTATTAACCTCACAAAGACAACTCAGAGCTAAATCCTTAGCTTTAACAGGAGCATAGGCCTGACAGTCATCAGCATAAAGATGAAAGTCAGGGTTATATTTCCTAAAGATGGCCCCAAAAGGGAGCAAATATAAACTGAAATGCAAAGGACCAAGTACAGAGCCCTGTGGGACCCCATATTTCAGGGGAGCATCACTTGAGCAGAAACTACCAATCTTAACAGTCACATACCTGTCAGCCAGGTAGGACCTCATCCAGAAGAGCGCTGAACCAGAGAACAAAAAAATTCTCCAGTCGATTGAGAAGTGTAACATGATCAAGTGTATCAAAAGCAGTGGTCAGATCTAAGAGTAATAAAAAGACTGTCACCCACATCAGTATATTGGAAAATATCATTGAACACTCTCACAAGCCTCCTCCTTGAACCGTCACCTTATCGTGGTGGAGGAATTTGAGTGCCCTAATGATCCTAGGAGCTATGTTGTCTGGGGCACTTTGTGCCCCTGGTAGGGTCTCCCATGACAAATTGGTCTTAGGTGAGACAAAGAACGGTTCAGAGGATCTTTCATGAATATGCAATCAAAGAGTCAGAGTACCCGGACCGGAGGGTTACCGGGGTCCCACCCTGGAGCCAGGCATGGGGTTGGGGCCTGTGAGCGAGGGCCTGGTGGCCGGGCTGTCGCCCATGGGGCCCGGCCGGGTCCAGCTCGAACCGGATACATGGGCTCATCCAACTGTGGACCCACCACCCGCAGGAGGAACATGAAGGGTCAAGTGCAGTGTGGATCGGGTGGCAGACCGAGGTGGGAGCCTTGGCGGTCCAATCCCCGGACAACGAAACTGGTTTTTGGGACATGGAACGTCACCTCGCTGGCGGGGAAGGAGCAGGAGCTTGTGGCAGAGGTTGAGCGGTACCGGCTAGATATAGTCGGACTCACCTTGACACATAGCATTGGCTCTGGAACCCAAGACCTTGAGAGGGGTTGGACACTCTACTTTGCTGGAGTTGCTCCGGGTGAGAGGCGGAGGGCTGGGGTTGGCTTTTTGTTAGCCCCAAGACTCTCTGCCTGTATGTTGGGGTTTACCCCGGGGGACGAAAGGGCAGCTTCCCTGCGCCTTCGGGTCGGGGAACGGGTCCTGACTGTTGTTTGTGCTTATGGGCCAAATATCAGTTCAGAGTACCCACCCTTTTTGGAGTCCCTGGGACGAGTGCTAGATAGTGCTCCATCAGGGGACTCCATTGTCCTGCTGGGGGACTTCAATGCTCACGTGGGCAACGACAGCTTGACCTGGAGGGGTGTGATTGGGAGGAACCGCCTCGACTGATCTGAACTCGAGTGGTGTTTCGTTATTGGACTTCTGTGCAAGCCGCAGTTTGGCCATAACGAACACCATGTTCGAACATAAGGATGCCCATCAGTACACTTGGTACCAGGGCGGCCTAGGTCGCAGGTCGATGATAGACTTTGTAGTCGTATCATCTGACCTACGGCCATATGTTTTGGACACCCGAGTGAAGAGAGGAGCCGAGCTTTCAACTGATCATCACCTGGTGGTGAGTTGGATCAGATGGCAGGGGACGATGCCGCGTAGACCTGGCAGACCCAAACGCATAGTGAGGGTCTGCTGGGAACGCCTGGCAGAAGAACCTGTTAAGACGGTCTTCAACTCCCACCTCCTGCAGAGCTTTGACCGCGTCCCGAGAGCAGTGGGGGACATTGACTCTGAGTGGGCCTTGTTCCACTCTGTGATTGTTGAGGCGGCTGTTGCTAGCTGTGGTCGCAAGGTGGCCGGTGCTAGTCGTGGTGGCAACCCCCGTACCCGCTGGTGGACACCAGAGGTTATGGGAGCCGTCAGGCTGAAGAAGGAGGCCTACAGGGCGTGCTACAGGGCGTGGCTGGTCTGTGGGTCTCCGGAGGCAGCAGACATGTACCGGATGGCCAAGCGGGGTGCAGCAGTGGCAGTTACCGAGGCAAAATCTCGGGCATGGGAGGAGTTTGGTGAGGTCAATCAGAAAGACTATCGATTGGCTCCAACGAGGTTCTGGCAAACTGTCCGGCGCCTCAGGAGAGGAAGGCAGCAACTCGCTCACACTGTTTACAGTGGGGATGGGGAGCTGCTGACGTCAACTGGGGCTATAGTCGGACGGTGGAAGGAATACTTTGAGGAGCTCCTCAATCCCACCTACGCGCATTCCGAGGAGGAACCAAAGTCGGGAGACCTGGGGATGGACTGTCCAATCTCGCGGGCAGAAGTTGCTGAGGTACTCAAACAACTACACAGCTGTCTAGCAAGAAAAATGTCTTCAAGATAACCAGAAATGTCCAGCTGTTTTTATATTAAAGCTCAGGATGATCATGTCCAGGATGACAGAGAATCTTCACCTAATGCAGGAAACGTGAGCAGAACTGGAAGAAATCTAGGTCACAGCCCTCATTTGAAGACGTGAGGTCTGCATGGTGTTCCTATGAAATGGCTGCAAAAAAGGCAAAATCCACTTTTTTTATCTGATATTATTAGTTCTAATGAGCATAACCTAAAAGTACTATTTTCTACCGTGGATGAGATTTGAAATCCCTCGTGTGCAGGTGGACTTAAAGCCTCCTCGACTACTGCTGAGAGGTTTCGGACATAATTTATAGGCAAAACTGAAACTATTCAAGCTCAAATTCCCCAGCAATTTAGTTTTATTGATGAAGAAATCTGTTTTGATTCAACTACTATGAATTCTTTTGACTCTGTATCCCCAGATATGTTGGATGAAATTGTTGGAAGGATGAAACCATCCAGCTCTGCACTCGACATCATTCCATCCTCTATTGTTAAAAATGTTTGGCCAGCTATTTCAAATATGGCTCATAATGTAATCAACTCTAGTCTGCAGTGTGGGGAAGTTCCAAAGAGTCTGAAAAGAGCTGTAATCAAACCCCTTCTTAAGAAACCCATTCTTGATGTCTCTGTATTATCCAATCATCGACCTATTTCTACGCTGCTATTTCTTTCTAAGATTCTTGAGAAAGTCGTTTTTAAGCTATTGTCAGACCATTTAGATAATAATAAATTTAAGAAGCTTTTCAATTAACTTTTAGAACAAAGCATAGTACTGAAACTGCGCTTCTGAGAGTCGTCATCGTCATCTTCCTCCGCTTATCCGGGTCTGGGTCGCGGGGGCAGCATCCCAACTAAGGAGCTCCAGACCGTCCTCTCCCCAGCCACCTCCACCAGCTTCTCCGGCAGGACCCCAAGGCGTTCCCGGACCAGATTGGAGATGTAACCTCTCCAACGTGTCCTGGGTCGACCCGGGGGCCTCCTGCCGACAGGACATGCCCGAAACACCTCCCCAGGGAGGCGTCCAGGAGGCATCCTGACCAGATGCCCAAACCACCTTAACTGACTCCTCTCAATCCGCAGGAGCAGCGGTTCTACTCCGAGTCCCTCCCAAATGTCCGAGTTCCTCACCCTATCTCTAAGGCTGAGCCCGGCCACCCTACGGAGGAAACTCATTTCGGCCGCTTGTATCCGCCATCTTGTTCTTTCGGTCATTACCCAAAGCTCATGACCATAGGTGAGGATTGGGACGTGGATCGACCGGTAAATCGAGAGCCTGGCTTTCTGGCTCAGCTCCCTCTTCCCCACGATAGATCGGCTCAGCGTCCGCATCACTGCAGACGCTGAACCAATCTGCCCGTCGATCTCCTTATCCCTCCTACCCTCACTCGTGAACAAACCCCCGAGATACTTAAACTCCATCACTTGAGGAGGGATTGATAAAGTATGTTAGATTTTAATTGATTTGAAGCACCCTGCTGGAGCTGTTCCCACCTGGCTGCTACTGTTTTAATATCCCTAGATCGCGGGGCTGAGGTGGTGGGCTGGTTGTTGTTTTTTAATTCAAATTTCCTTATAAACAGCTAAAACCCACCATGTCATTTTCTTCCTTTGAACTGTGCCTATTTGAACTGTGCATCTCCCCCCGCCTGCTTGTTGTGTGATTTATTTGTCAGGCTGACAAAGTTTGCAGCCAAAAACGAAACGTTGCAGGTACATAAAAACCTTTCTGTGTTTTAAAAAGAACCAAAAGATCCATTCTTGCATTCCAGACCTGGACTTCAAGGAACTCATCAACTTAAGACTGAAACCATCCTGATCAACGGACGAGGACTTTAACCGTTCCAAACCGTTCTTCAACCGGGACTCTCAGTCCACGGACAAGCCCTTTGATGAAGAACGCCTGGTTTGCCTCAGCTTCTGCCATAGTTAGAGCTGCATGAACTGATACTACCTGTTCCTCATTCACAGAAACAGCCGTGTGCGACCTGTAGCTTTAAATTCATCTGATGTTTCAATAAACTCTACTGATGTTTTCTGTATATTATATGGTCTTGCTAGGCCTGTAGCGACGGCTCGATGACGTCGAGGATTCGATTCTAAAAAGCCGTCGACGTCAAATCCGGAAGTCGACGCACCACGTGACATAAACAGAGCAGCGCGTAGAACAAAACGCCGTTCATCTGATAGACTCAGCAGCTATGTCTCAGGGACCCCGGCGCCCTACAAAGGTGTGGGAATATTTTAAACGGAGCACAAAACATGAAAGTGCCGTTATTTGCAGTCTTGCACCATGGAATTAGCTTATCACACCAGCACAACGTCCATGTAGGAGCATCTGAAGCGGAGGCATCCCATTGTTACCCGTGACTCCCGCGAACAGAAGTAAGTTACATTATATAATATTGTCAGTGTTTGCTAAAGTGATTGCATGTTTGTGTAACATGTGCGTGAGCTCTGCGCACTTTGGTGGTGCGTGTTTGGTTTGGCTAAACAGCTTTATTTAGCTAACGTTAATTAGCGATAACATATAATGCTGGCCCAAATGGCTAACTAGGTAATTGCTGCTAGGCAATGACAAAATGTATTGTTGTACAAAACATGACTTATTACAAAATTAGCCACACCAGCATTCTCAAATGACTTAATCATGGCATAGCACTGCAATAAGGCTAAGAGCAGATTTAAGATACCATGCATTCATAGCTGTTGTTCTGATATGCTCCAAATGTGTTCTAATTTGCATTCTGCAAAGCCTATACTTCTGTGTAGCTTATATTGTTGACTTTATTGCAACAGGGAAACATGTTTCTAAATGTGCATTTGACAATAAACGCTTTTAATCTTTGAATTGATTTTGTGTTTTCCAGAGCAAAGCAAAGAACCTTGTCGTCTTATCTTGGGCAAGAGATGCAATGCACACCTCAGAGGGCAGCCGAGCTGAATAAAAGGATCTTGAAAGTAAGTAATAAATATTAGCTAACTGTTGCTTGCTTTCAGCATCTTTTAGGAGGAAACTGCTAACTATGTAAAAACAAATTCACCCTCATTTAGATGAAAACAGATGACAAATTTGACAATAGGGTCCAGTTTCTTTAATCTCCAACGTTTGCTTTTGTTGACTTCTTTTTTCTTCATGTCCTTGTGTGATTTGTCTAGTAATTAAATGTTGAATGCTATGTTGTTTCTACATTTATATTTTCTTTATCTTACATTTGATTGTTAAAGACATGAGGCCTTTGTCTCTTGTTGAGGGTGACGCCTTCATCGATATGGTCGAATACGCCTGTCCCGGCTTCAAATGTCCATCCAGGTGGTGGTTCACAAACCAGATGGAAAAAAAATATGAAGATACTCTGGAGAATTTAAAGAACATAAAGAAGAGGTCCTCAAAAATCACACTCACCACTTCTGTTCAGGCTGCAAAACTGGGTGCTCTTCCTTAGAGACTGTTAAACAGTTTTATTTTGTGTTAAAACACTCGGGGATGTTCATGCTGGGACCTGCACAGTGTTCTGTTTTGCACTAAAACTAGAGTTAAACTAGAGTTATTGGAGCTGTGTTCCAATAATAATACTGCTTTTATTTTGTCTTAAGCAAAAGATGTTTGACTTTGGAAAATCGTTGTGTAATAAAGTCATTTATACAATTTTGGGGGTATTTCTTTAAAATATTTTGGTTTTAGTCAATTGTACAGCAAAAAAAATCATAAGATTAATCATGTAATTAGTCACTAGAATAGTCGAATATTCGATAAAACAATCGCCAGAATAATCGTTTTGAAAATAATTGTTTACCTACAGCCCTAGGTCTTGCTAATCCTTCCCAATCTCTTTACAGGAACTGCTCTAAATTGTAGAATTGTTGCATCACAGTAAATTCACATCAACATGTATGAAATAGCTCTTCTTTAGTTTATGATGGTGTTGATTTCACTGATTTCCATTATCTCACTTGTGTCTCTGTAAGCTGCTGTTTGTTATTGTCAGTTGTGTTTGTCTTATTGTTTTTTATTATTTTATTTGTTCTTTATTATTTTACTTTATTTGTTCTTTATTATTTTACTTTATTTGTTCTTTATTATTTTTACTTTATTTGTTCTTTTGTTATTTTCATTTTGTTTGGTTATCCTATTCGGATAAAGAGGAGGGATTATGTTATGGAAATGTTATGTTTATTATTAACTGAATGTATTATTCTATGCCTGAAAGCACACACACACACACACACACACACACACACACACACACACACACACACACTTACATGTGCATATTTAATCGGATTGAGCGCCCAATCAGATCGAAACATGTCAATCGGAATATTCTGATCCGTTTCGGCCCGATCGGATTGAAATTTCAATCCGATTGAGAGAGGTGGTTTATTCCGTTCATCATTCCGATTGGCGTGCATGTACACAGCCATTCGGATTGTTGGGGTAAAATAATGCCCACTGCGCATGTGTGCAACAGCTAGCGGGCCTCTCCGCTGTCATTTGGACTGCCTGACTTCAAAAATGACGGCGTAGTTAACGAGTGGCGGTTTTTAAATCCGACGACAAGCCGTCCCGTTTCAGTAATATTTAATTCAGAACTTGCATTTTGTGGAAGTAAAATAAAAATCTGATTATTGCACAAATCATTCGACAAACATGTTCAAATCTACTGGAAATACGCAGGTTTATCGCGGAGGCTGCAGTGCACGGATCCCCGTTTCTGTCAGCTTTGAACGCAGCAGCTTCTGCAGCAGGTGATGGAGACGCGCTTGTGAAGAAGACAGGATAATCTGGGTTTTACAGACCTGACTGGAGGCTGATGTTGGGTAGGAAAACGTCCTCGGTTTAATACTCTGGACGACAGTAAAGTCCGTGTTAAAAGCACGTAAACGCAGATGACCTGAGATGCGGTTCGTTAATGACGAACACAGGCTTCTAAACTTTCTGAACATCTTCTGTTATTTTGTTTTAAACAGATTTTTCTCAACAGTTTCAGCTGATCGTCACATGTTATTAATAATAAGCAACAACAGAGCTCAGTAATAAAACATGAGTCTATTAATATGAAGTGTGTGTTCCTAAGGTCGTATTAAATCAAATATTCAAAGACCAATAAGATTGATCATTTATAATTAGATGGAATATCACATCTTATTGATCATTCAGTAAAAGTAACCACTTCCATCACGTGACACCATCAGCATGGCTCTACACTTCATCCTGCAGCATCTGGACTCCTGGGTACCTACACCAGGATCCTGCCAGAAGCAGAAACAGCTGGAGTTAGCAGGTCAGATCCACGGTGTGTAAAGTCCACTCATGGAGGGAACAGGAAGGGAAACCACTGAAGAACCAGGATAAACAGACCCGAGGAAACATGGACGGAGACACAGCGCTGCCCCGTGGCCAGGCGGGAATGTGGAAACGGACCTGTGGCTATTCCAAACACAGGCGCCATCTTGTTAGCGGCCAGAAGCAGAGTATGGGTGGGATGAGGCTGGCCCATACTCTGGAACAGCAGCTGCTATGTGTGGACTCTCATGTGATTTGTTTATTTACATTTGTAGTAAACCTTTCTCCACACTCATCATGACTAAATGATTTAGGTTTCTTCTGGACTTTCCTGCACGAGTCTACATGTTGCTTCACTCTAACACATTTCTTATGAACCAAACAGCCTGAAGACCTTATTGCTGGATGACTTGTCTCCCTCACGCGTCTCTGGAGAGACCACTTGTGAAGAACTTGTTGACAGACTTACCATCTGACTCAGAAGACCTGCTCTCATTCCAGTCATCATCTTCATCTCCAGTTTCAGACCCAGAGTCTGACAGCTCAGAGTCCACATTCACACCATCATCATCATCATCATCTTCATCATCTCCACTAACTTCAGTCTCTGAAGAATCAGATGTTTGTTCATGAGGGTTCAGATCTGGGTTCCTGCTAGTTCCTGCTCCTCCACCAGTTTCTGCTGCCATCTGGTCAGCTGAGCTGCTGGTTGGAACATCTCTGTCTTCTATTTGCTGCTGATGAAGCTGTGAGACCAGAGGTTTCTCTTCATCCTCCTCACTCTTTATAGAAACAGCAGTAACAGGAAACCCGACAGCTTCAGTCTCCTCCTTCAAACAGAGATGCTCTCCCTCCAGACTGGTCCAGAGCTCCTCCTGTTCCTCCTTTATGTGGAGGTGTTCTGAGTCCTGCTGGTCCACACCAGCACTCTGTTCTTCAGGAGCTTCTTCTTTAACCAGCACCAGCTGTGGAACATCTGTAGGAAACACAGACACATGATGTTACAGACCACCATACCTTTATATTTACACCATGAGTGATACTGGCTACATGATGTGGGAAAAAGGAACAAGAACATGAACTTCATTTAGATAAAAACAGATTTCTACTTTAGGAACAATAAAAACTTCCATCACAATCAGCGTGTTTGTTTCTGACCAGAACTTCTAAGCCTCCTACTCACAACCCAAGCTTTAGATCTGAAGCTGATGTGAGGAGAAACGTCTCCAAGATAAAATCAGCAACTATTCAGTCAAAAGGAAAATGAATAAACACTTAGATGTAGCTGCTGTCAGTAACAATCTTTCACTTTTAAGCTCTCAGCAGGCTAGAGCACTACAAAGCAAAGGAATCTTACTAATTAGCATTTTGGGAGATTTAGTGTTGTTATTATTATTAGTAGTAGTAGTAGTAGTGGGTTACTTAGTGACTGAGCAGTGGGCGGAGCCTGTTGTTTTCTACTCATTGTATTATTTTTCAGCGTTTTATTGTGATTCCTTTCGTGACCTCGGTCTGGGACACGTGCTGTATGAATAAACTTGGTTCTTCTTCCACCACAGAGAAAGGCTGCTCTTCCAGCATCATGAACTTCCTTATGGTCCGGTTATTAGCTGAGCCTTCTGACGCTCATACAGACGGGTGTTGGTGAGCGTAGCTGCGTCTGACTGGGAGGTGTTGATCTCTGCAGCCATCCCTGGAAACTCACCTCACTCCACCCAGACTTTGTTCTTTACGTCGTATTAAACCAGCTGTAATCAGCTTCCCCAGGAGCTGAAGCTTTTCATTGCAGGACTCAAAGCTTACATCACTCTCGCAGACGGAGTTAAAGTTAGGCGGACATGTTGTTTTACATTGTTGCTGCTGTCCTGCACAGCATGAAGGAAAAGGGGAAGAACCCCAAGTGCTGCACACAGGGTTCACACAGGTGTTGCTGGTATGATCAGAACATCCCAAACTAACACCAACGTAGATACACAATAAACAACTTGTATTAAGTACTGATGAGCTATCTGCAGTGGAACAGGACCAGCTGGCATCCTCACACCAAAAGGAGGAACGGGTGTCTTTTATAAACCAGCCAGGCACTAACTGGTGTGTTTCCATTACCGAAACTTCCCAGTATGACCGTCTCCACTTCACCAGAGCCAGCCGAACCGGTCGTTTTCCAGACCTTTTGAGAGTCTTTGCAGGTTCTGTGGCCTCACCCAGATCACCCGCGGGCAAACCGAGTTCTAACCAGAAGCATCTGTCAGCAGTGGCGGTTTTACCATTAGGCATAGGTCGGCGGCCGCCTGGGGCCCCCTAGCCCTGACTGCTGGCACCCCTCTGTTAATGCCACAATGGACTATTCCTTTAAGACGCCGATTCACAAACAGGAAGTGATTGGTAATCATTCTACTCCAATCAAGTTGGTGGCAGTAATGCACGAAATAGTTGTTTGCCAAGTGCCGTAAGACCACAAATAAGAAGAGAGGAGGGAGCGTTCGTAACAAACTCGAAGCGGTAGTCAAAACATGAAGCATGAAATGGAGTTATCCTAGTGGCTCCAATAAGAGAAAGAAGCAGCTTGCTTTAAAAAAGCTTTTATCTTCACTTCTGAACGTGACGTCGTTTTTCGATGTAAACATCAAAAGGAAGCAGAAAGGAAAGACAATGGAAAATGTCTAAAGGGAGGAAAAGAGAGACCAAAATGGAAAGTAGAAGGAAAAAACAACGGCTAAAGCACAGGAGCACTGACAGGAAGAAAGCTGAACGAATATTGAAGGTGCTCAAAGGGAGAGAAAGACAGGAAAAAAGGAGGACTAATAAAAAGGGAATACAACTCATGTCAGAAGAGGGGAGAGTGTCGCAAATCCAGTTAAAGATAAGATTGTCAAAAAATTAGTGTAAGGGGGCCCCATGTCTGTGTTCGCCTTGGGACCTCAAATTGCTAAATCCGCCCCTGTCTGTCAGCATTCATTCTGGACAGGTTTACTTATTTTATGCTTCTTTGTGAGAAATGTCCTCATGTCCCCATGTCTGTGGAGGGATCAGACATGGACACTGCTTATTATGGGATAGTAATGGTAGGGCTGTAGCGAAGCCTCGACGAAGTCGACGGCTCGATTCTAAAAATTTGTCGACGTCAGATCCGGAAGTCGACGCACCGCGCCCACTTGTTGCATCCCCAGGAGTTTGTAAATAGAGGAGGAATCTGCCTGTTCTTCCTCTAGTTCGCCCTCTTCTCCGCCTTCACTAACATCTCCGCCAAATACCGAAGACCCGGAACAACGTCCGTCCACTACTAGATTATTTTCCTGTTTTGCCCCTTCGTCTCCCGGCAACGGACAACAACTTTCGGGGTCAGATGCGCTGCTTCGTGTCTATCGCAGATGTAGAAAATCACCGGGAGCGTTTCTCCCTTCATTAAGGAGCTTCTTTCAGACATGAGGAGAGCTGTTTTGGTGGTAGCAGTCTCTCCTCCGTGCTGGTCTGTTTGCTGCTGGGTATTTTTGGTTTATTTAAACTTGGTAACTTGAACTTAATGTTGGTAAAGCTACTGTTAGCATCTTCGCTAACAGCTTCTTGCGTTGGGATAAGCTGTTACGTTTTGGTTTAGAGTTGATCTTTTTTGTGGTGTAGATCTCCCTTTTATTACATTTAGAGTGTTGTGGGTTTTCGGTTTAGTGTAAAATACCACCTGAGTTTGGTTTAACCCGTAAGACCACTCGCCTCACGCACATAAGTGACCAAAACAAAGCAGCATGGAGACACTCCATCTTCTACCACCTCTCAGGCAGCAGCCTGCACTCCCAAGTTCTACACGTCACCAGAACATAACCAACCGCAAAACAATAAAAGCAGTGTTATACAAAATGGAAGGCCTGTAGTGTTTATTCTCTTACAGTACGAATTTATCAATTTTTTTGAGGAATTTATTTGAGATTTTCTGGTTTTTGTTAATTGTGCAATAGAAAAATAATCATTAGATTAATTTTCTAAATAGTCATTAGAATAGTCGACTATTCGATAAAATAATCGTCAGAATAATCGTTTTAAAAATAATCGTTTACCCCCAGCCCTAAGTAATGGCACTGACTCCTCCTCCAGCTTCGACAAGCCTGTAGTTTCACTTTGGTTCATTCGGTCGTTTATTTTCTAACTTTGTTGACAACCATGTCGGTCACGTCCACCATGTGTGCAGCAGAACAACCAGGAAAACGTGGAACGGACTTCAGCAGACGGAGTCATTGCTAATGAATCAAGTGGAATGGATTTCTTTGAGAACAATCGAAGTGTGTGTGTGTGTGTGTGTGGGGGGGGGGGTTCCCTTCTGACATAATGGTTGCGACATCTATGAACCACCTCCAGTCAGTCAGCCAATTCAGTAGTTTGCTCGTAGTTTAACTCTTGATCCAAACGTTGGACCGTTTCTGCCTCTAACAATGGTTTCTGTCGTTGCTGGTTTCTCTTTTTTCCGCCACAGCACCGAGATCACCACGTAGAGCTCCAGTAAAATGTGTTCAGACTGTGGAGCGCACGTTTAACGACGCTTCGAATCAGTAAAAAAATGAATCGAGGAACTTAATGAATCGAAAAGTCGTCATTTGCATTTTTTTTACTGTGTGGGCGTCGGAACGAGCCCCCGCACTGTGAGAACAAACATCCCAGCTCTAAAGCCGATCTTCATCCACATACATCACATGATCAGTAAGCAGAAAATCTATGTGTTAGCATATTGTTTTTGGACGCTGCTCTAAAAAAAAGTGAGGCGAGAACCGGAAAAGCTTCTACCGATCACAATTCTACAACGGACTATGAAAGAACAGATAACACTCAAAATGCACGGATTCTTCCTGTAAGAGGTGAGTCTCCGCTATGTTTAGGTAGTTTTGGCGTTGACATCATCATAGAGCAACGTTCTGTGACTTAAAAAAAACCCAGTAAAAACGCTGAAAAATGCTGGCAGTGAATGAGTTAAACAAAAAGAAAATTCTAATTTGTGCTTCGCATCCATAAAATAATCCATGTTTAGACTTCTTCTATGTTCACAAATCAGTCAGTGAATCATACCTTAACCAGTCACGTGCACAAACCACGGCCCATCATCATTTATTGGACTAATGGTGGGCAAATGGAAAAACAGCCCAACCCTAGTGTGGGCTACCGGAGCTGCAATACTTACTCTGAACTGTGAGGTCAAGAGTTGTTTCAGATGTGGGGCTGAGCTGAGCATGCGCTGACGGCCGATCACCGGATACACGGCAGCGTTTGAAGCTGATGGCAAATCGTTAACAAACATCCACAAACAATTAAGACGCATTTTCGCCTAATTTATCTACTGACAACACAAAAAATAATCTGGCAATTATAACTCACTCAACCTGGAGGTAAGTGAAGAAAGTTTAGAAAGTTTACTAAACTATATTGACGAGTTTTTGAGTTTTTCGTTGTGGGTCCGAAGAAATCAGCAGCTGAGACCGAAACACCTGGGACCAAGAGGAGCCGTTCTCAGGACCCACCTGAGGCCTCATCTCCCCGTAAGGACATAGTAGAACTATTAGATTCTATTGATAAACCGCTTCTGGAATTTGAGGGATGACTTCATCTGCTTGAGGTTCTACACCAGGAGTTTCAGAACCTCCGAACATCTCTGGAGTTCAGTCAGGAGCAGGTTGAGCAGCTCGCTGCTGAGAACGTGTCTCTGCGGGAGTAGGGCTGTCGCGGTAACCGCAAAAATGAAATATCGCAATATGAAGAAGCCCACCGCGCTGCATCATGGGCCACCGCGATTACTGAACTTGGTTCAACTCAATGATGCATGTTGAGAAGGATGGCTGCACTGGTATCAAAACGAAACGTTACTTCGCTCCTTTGGGAGCACTTTGGTTTTCAGTACGTCAGCTGCTGCGCAGCCAGAGTCCTTGGCCGAGACAGAGCTGCCACCAGCGGCAAAATAAATAATAATAAATGCTCGGAGACCTGCTGAAGTCCCGGACAAGCACTGCTTCTGCAACCGTCCCGAAGAGAGTTTGAGCCGAGCTGGAGCTCACTCGCTACCTGCAGGAGGAATGCATCCACCCTAAAGAAACCCCCCCTGACATGGTGGAGCAACAACTGGGAGAGATTCCCTTTGCTCGCCAGTCGCACGCAAGTACGTGTGCGTTAGTGCAACGAGCGCACCATCCGAGAGGGTTTTCAGTGTTGCTGCAAATGTTGCCACCCTCTCAGATCCTCTCTCAAACCGTATATGGTTAACATGCTGGTTTTCCTTGTGGGTAACAAGGACGTGACCGAGCTATAAATCACCGTCATTTGTGTGTGTGAAAGTGAAATGATAGTGCGCCCGCCCCCCGGCGCGCGCGCGCCCGGTACGTGTAATTTTTTATGCTTGATTTTAAACAACTAAACAAAATGGAGACTTGTTTCTTATTTGTTAGATGCTGCAGCCAAATTTGCATTTAAAAGTTTAACCTTCTCCTGAATTTAGTTGTTTTTAAGTTCAGTCGGACTCCGACTGTCGGAGAAACAAACGTTACTGTGATCTGTGTTGTTACTGCCCTTTGATCTGCATTCAGTAAAGTGTTATAAAAGAAGGCACGGCAATTTTTAACCTTTTTTAAATGTGTAAACATTATGTTTAGATAGTACTGCAATAAAAAAAAGGGCTGCAATAATATCGCACACCGCAATATTAAGCCACCCTGAATCACCGCAGGGGGAATTCCTCAACCGCGACAGCCCTATGCGGGAGTCAGTTTCTTCCCTGGAAGAGGGAATGACGCGGATCACCCAGGACAAAAAGATTCTGGAGACAGTTTTGGACCTTCAGGCCCGCAGCATGATGGATAATCTGGTGTTCGCAGGCCTGCCGGACCAGATAGGAGGGGCGGAGAACTGCGAGCATACAATCAAGAACTTTCTCCAGACCCAAATGAAGATACCCGAAGAAACGGTAAAAAACATCACCTTTCACCGGGTACATCGCCTTGGAGCTTGACGAGTGGACAGCAGAAGATCTCGTCCCATCGTGGCTAAATTTGAACATTTTAAGCAGAAGGATCTTGTTAAAAGTCACGGAAGAGAGCTCAAAGGGAAAGATTTCAGCGTGAACGATCAGTTCCCGAAGGAAATTCTGGATCGACGCCG